GCCTGGGCCACACAGCGTCAAGCCTGGCAGGAGTGCACAGCAGGACCTTGTTTCAGGGAACGAAATCAAAACGGAAGGAGGTCCCATGATTGGTACTCCTGGCGTGCCACAGGCGCCGCAGGTGTGCAGCGTCCTCAGCAGAGCACACTCTGCAACAGGGCGAGTCAGGGGAGTCGGGTAGCGAGGGAGGAGGGGCAGGGGCTGGGAAAGGAGGTCGGGCCAGTGTGCTGGCCGTCCAGGGCCTGCACCCGTGCAGAGGAGCTAGCTGCTGGAGAGGCGCCGGGGCACCACTGCATTCTTCCCTCTCTGCCTTTCTCTGAAATGAGTTGACATCACTGCCTCCTCCAAGACAAGACTGGCCCACCCAGGGCTTTCCAAAGGGCCAAGGCTTTCTACTTCCTGTGTAGAGTCTGAAAAGAGAAGGACCAGACCAGGGTCTTTGTCCATGGAAGCCTGGGGCCCATGGCTACCCTCATTCCTGTCAGTCCTAGAATGGGCTGTCTGGTCTGCAGTCTCTCTCAGGTGGTGGGGGAACAGAAGCGACAGGGAGGCCAACTGCCACTGGCCTTGTAGCGCCTCCTTCCTTCCTCATTCAGGGGCCTATCGTTGTTCGAGGTCCTAGCCATCATCTGAAGCAGCTGTTTGCCTGGGAACTTTAACCTCTGCTTCTGAGCCTGGCTTCTGGAGGTGAGAATTTTGTTGGCTTGGAGGAGAAGCCAGCTAGTTTTGTTGAATTTATCTGACACAGATGATATGCCAAGCTCTCAGTAGACACCCCCAGGAGTCAGGGCAATCCAATTTCCCCTAGAGAATGCCTAGGCTTTTACATGATCTGCGTGGGCCAAGAACTCCCAGAGTTCCTCCTGGCCAGGTGCAGGCTGAACTCTCAGGTCAGGCAATGTCACCATGGGCCCGACACACTTGGGAGTTGCTGGCAAGCAGGCAGAGGAAACACCTGAAAGCCTTCCAAGCCTACCCCAAATCGTACTTAAAGTGCTGATCCCAGCCCAAAGGCACCTGGACCTTAATCCGGTTCATCCTGTCGGAGTGGGCCTTTGTCGTCGTTCTCCACCGGCTCTCCGAGCCCGGACTCCTTCCCATGTCCAGCCTGGCCTCAAACCCCTGCAGGCCTCCCTCCTTACCTTTCCCAGTGGGTGGGGCTGTAGGAGTCAACTGCCATGCCCAGCTTCCCTGAACTTTGTGTTTCGGAGTTGTAGGGATTGGAAGGGCGTTTCAGAAGGATCTGGTGCTTGGCCCTCTCTCCCTTCTAGTGGAACCTGGTAGGCTGACAGGCCAGGAATGGGGAGTACTCTGCAGTTCGTTTGGAGAGGGTTAAAGTGCAAGAAACCAAAACCAAACTGCCCAGAAAAGGTGGCATTGGCAGTCTATACCTGTCAAAGGTTTCACGTGAGCCCTGTGCACCTACGCGTGTTTGTGATTCTCCCCCTTTGTTACATGTAGATCCATGCAGTGACATATTCTGCCCCCAAGAGGGCTTCATTTGCCCTCACTCCTTGTTCCTTTAAAAAAAGATGTTCTATTTTTATTAAGATTTATTTAGTTTGCTCGTATGTACGAGTGCTTTGCCTGCATGTATGTCTGCCACATGCGTGCCTGTGCCTAAGGAAGCAGCGAGTCTCCATGTAGGTGCTGGGGCATTGAACTCGGATCCTTTCCAAGAACAAGTGCTCTTCCCCACTGAGACAACTCTAGCCCCTCGGCTCCTGACCCTAACCCACTTTCACGCGAATTTGTCTGCACTTCTCCAATGGCCTCACGCTGGTAGTGTTGGAGCAGCATCAGGTGGCCCTTGCGACGGGCTTCAATAGTCAGTGGAGAGCAGTCTCCCTCTTCCACCATGTTCTTGTTTTCCTCTCTCCAAGAACGAAGCCGGAAGACATCAAAGCACAGGCAGGGCACTTTATTAATGTGGGGCTACTGACCCTAAACCAGATAAACAGCCGTAAACAGGAAAAACTGGTCCATACCAGGTAATGACAGCTCCAGCACCGCAGAGTTGAATTCTGGGAAGCACCGAGATGTTAGCCGAGCCGTCGGGGCGTTGCAGGTTTCCCCAGTGGCAGGTCTGTGAGCAGTGGGTCCCCCAGGCCGCACACGCATTTCTGTCTTAGGGGCTGAGGTGGAGTTCTTCCCTCTGTAGCCCCTGCTGAATCTGGAGGCTGCCTGAGACAGAAACCTTTAATTCTCATTGGTTTTGTAAATGTATTAATTTGGCACTGAACATTTTTTATAACTAACAAAATGGCCACTTTGATAATTGTATATTAAACATTTGCTTTTATGTATCTAAGAAATGAGCCCTTTGTCAGTTTGCAGGTTTCCACTTTAATATCAAACTACTAGCTTATGATTGTTGATGTTAACAGCCAAAACTACCCTGCCTATCCCTAGATCTGGCAGTTCCTATCTCTCTAGGTTTTTAAGTTTTATGTTTAAGTCTATGGTGTCCAGTCTGCGCTGGTGTATGAGCCGGGGAATGCAGCTGTTAGTAAAGCCAGTTGTAATTGTGTAGACTGACCTTTAAATTTTAAGCTGCCTGTGGTGGCTCACACCTCTAATCCCAGCACGCCAGAGGCACAGACAGGCAGATCTCTGTGAACTGGAGGCCAGTCTCGTCTACATACTGAGTTTCAGGACAGCCAGGGCTATACAGTGAGACTAAAAACAATTTTGTTTTTTGACTGTGTACGTCTGTGCCCTATGTGCCCACAGAGGCCAGAAGGCGGCACTGTTATCTTCCCCTCCAGTTACACACTTCATTGAGGCAAACCTGGTTCCTCTGCAAGAGCAGCCTGTACGCCACGCTTAGACTGAGCCGTCTCTTCAGCCCCAACCTTTAGATTCTTTATGCTCTGTAATAATCACGCTGCCTTTTTACCTTCATGCGTGCACACGCGAGCACCTATGTATACGGCATGCATCGAGGTGCAGTGTTCTCTTGCTGCGTGAGTCCTGAGGATTGAGCGCAGGTCACCCAGTGTCACCTGCTGCGCCACCTTGTTGGGCCTGTGCACAGCTCTGAAGGATCCACCCAGACGCTTCCCACTTCCTTGTTTTTCTAAGCTGTTCCAGCTGCTCTCTAGGTCCTTTGTTACTTTTGTATCTGTTTCGGGAAAGGCTAAAAGCGTCCCTGAAATTCTGCGAAGCTGATCCCGGGACGTTCCCTTTCTCCTGATGGGGTCTTACTTTTGTACCGGTCACACTTGCCAGCGTGCAGTTTCCGTTTCCAGCCTGTCTTAGGTTTTCCTTAAGATTAAAATGTTCTGCGCCTGTGTCACCACACGGAGGTGCCCTGCAGAGGCAATGGGCTCCTCCAAAGAGACGCTACACGCAGTTTTGGGCTACTTGACTGGTGCTGAGAATCGGTTTCTTCTGGAAAAGGAACACACTCACCTGCTGAGCCATCTTTACAGGCCCGAATTTTTTTGACTGGTTAGCAAATAGCACGATTTTAAATTATATTTTCGCGCAATGTTGTGTCCATTCTTTTTCCCATTTCCTCTCCTTTTTTTTTTTTGGAGATCGTCTCTTACATCCAGTCTGCCCCCTAATTGCTGGGCTCAAGGCATTACCATCTCTCTTTCTCCAAGTGGCTAGAACTACGGGCATGAGGCACACTGGGCATGCGCAGTCATGCAGACCTTGTACCCCAGTCCACTGAGCCCACCGTCTGGAAGCTCTCTGGTTTGCACTAGCTGGACTGTAAATGCAGGGTGTTCCCACTTCCTTGGGACTTCCTGCTGCTCCTCAGTGACACATTCTTGAAGCACCCAGGCTTTCATGAAGTCCGAGTTAGCTGAAGTTACCCCTCTTCCGTCTCACTGACCTTGCTTTCGTGGGTGGTGACTTGATGTAATCTGTGCGTTTTCTTCGGGCTTTCTATAGCCCGAAGAGAACTCTCCCACACTGGATTTTCATGGCTCTAAGGCCTGGGAGCCAGTTGCTGCCAGTATGCTCTCTCCACATCCCGGAAGGCCACAGGGTGTGCGCAGCTGCAGCCAAAGCAAACCCAGGGCCTGTGGCCGTCTGGAGACTTACAGCCCAGGCCAGCACAGGGTCCAGGTGAACACAGGGGATCCCAGCTCCTGTCACCTTCCATGTGAAGCGGGGTTACATGATCAGCCCTTATTTCTGCACAAACCAAGATGCTTCCACTGGACTTCTGAGATGGACTGAGTACACCTCGGTGGACCCTGGCCTCCAGCTCTGACACGATCCAAAGACTACACAGCCTGACCAGAGCCCTGCTCAGGGGAACATCGCTGGCCTGTGTGTGTGCTGTTTGACGTGCTCTCTCCTGTACCCCTGCATCCATGCAACCATGGAGAGAAATGAAGCCACCTCCCCAACACCCCCCTCCTTCCCCGGCAGGGGACAGAGGCAAGGAGTGCACAGGTCTGTGGTTGTGGCCTGGCCAATCATGGGTTGGAAACCGAGACTGACTGAAATGAATTGCTTAGCCAGAGTTGTCCATCGACTAAAGGAGCTCCTGAGCAAGAGTGGGCCTCCCCTTTGGAGAAATGTTAGAACTGGACTGAATCTTGACTTAAGTCTTAACTCACTGCTACAGGTGAGGCCCAGAGCTCAGCCCTCAGAATTTCAATGCCAGGGCCTGTGTGATGGCACATGCCTATAATCCCAGCACTTGGGATGGGAGCAGAAGGTTCAGGAGGGTCAAGTCCACCCTCAGCTACGCAGCGAATCTGAGGCTAGCCCAGGCTATGTGGGATCACCTCAAAACCCCAAGAAGAATTGAGAAGACAGGACACTGAAGGATGTCCCTGCCCACACTAGTTAAGACTTCGGACAGAATCCAACTTCATGTGAAGCAGCTGTTTCTGGCCAGGGGTCACTAACTTCATGGTTCCAGAGCAGGGAACCCTGTCTTCTGCTACTCACCCGAGCACTGACTTCCCCAGGTCCCAGGCAGTCCCCACTTTTTACTTCCCAGGAAAAGAACACGGGCAGCCAGAGGCAGCTTGGGCAGCACTGGTATACATCATACATTTATTAGTGAATATCCCTCTGAAATCAGCAACAATATTAAAAAAAATAATGATTGCACTACTTGGTCAAGCAGAACTAGCAACTTTCATTTTAAAAAAAGTACAAATCTGTTAAAAATTTCAATCAGTGTACATATATAATACAACATACTAGTTACGTTAGATGCTACAAACCAACGTGAGTCCAATGGGATGGAAAACCACATTTCAGCTTTAAGAACCATTTTTCTCTATATATTAGCATTTTCTCAGATACATACATGGGAAAAATGAGGTAACTGTAAGATGTGCAAGGAACAGGGCCCCCAAATCACGTGTTTATATATATATATACGTGTGTGTAGTTATTTATATGTGTGTGTGTGTGTGTGTATATATATATATATATATATAAAACCTTTCTAACACAGAACACAGGCGCTGGGCCCAGCAGTGCTGGGGGAAGGTGCCCACTGTCATGCCTAGGCCAGAAGTTGGTAAATAAAGAGTAAACAACGCCAAGCCCCCACCACAGGGAATCATTGGTAACATGGCATCTACAGCAAGGTCGGCAAATCACAAACATCCTAAGTAATTGAAGTAATTGTTTCAATTTTTTTTAAATGATTAAAAAAAAAAAAAAATTGTATTTCCCCGGTAGCTGCTTGTTGGAATCCTCACTGCAGCTGACACAATCCATGGGCCGATTCTGCTGCCCCAGGAACCACAAGGGGTGGAAAACCTTTTTTTGGGGTGAGGAAGGGAAGGGGTTGGAGAAGGTGGTTCTCCGTGTAAAACACGTGGATTTTCGACACTGCTATAAATATAGAAACATCACCTGGAGTTATATACAGTAAGACTTTGGGTTCTTGTGGGTGGGACCAGGCTGATGGCCCTGGCAGGCTGGGGTGGGAGGCAGGGCCAGGGCTGCTGCGTGAGAACGAGGGTGGTTGGAGCATCCCTGAGGCAGCAGGCGCCAATGGCTGCCTGCTAGGATGTGCCGGCCCCACACGCGGTTCGTTCACTCGGGGCAGCCCCAGCTGCAGGGAGGAAAGGAAAGGAACGGGCCCTGAAAGGAGGGTGGGAACTCAACCTCCTCCAGACCTTGGAGAGCAGGGGTCAGCCAGGAGGGCCCGGAGGTGGAGGTTCACGCCCTCCCCGATCCCTGTCCTCATGGGATTCCTAGGAGGAGACTCACCCAGGCAGGTGGGAGCCAGGCCCTGGCTGGAGAGGAAATGCCCTGAAAAGCAGACGGTCCCGGTAGGCTCTGGGACATGTGCAGTACAGTGCATGGCAGTTATCAGCTGAGCACAGAACCCCCAACTCTGCCCTGTGACTTCCAGCCACCCAGCGCAGTCCCGGCGGCACACTCATACGGAGGCCTGGTGCGGCACAACCTGACCCTACTCTGCCCCCTGGGCATTTGGTCCCGGTTGGTCCCTATGCCCCAGCCCACTCCTATTAAACCAAAGGGAAAATAATAACAACAGTAACAAAAACCAAACACCTCTTAAATAGCCACACCCCCTACACGCAATTTTGGGCCAAATGAATAAACAAAAACTGCTGTTCCTCACATTCATGCAAAACGACAGAGGGGGAGAGGATCGAGCACAGGTCTGACATTGTCACTGGTAGCGGGGCGGCCACCAGGGACACAGGGACATGCCCAGATTGTAGCCTGGCCCTGCACAACAGAATGTACCCAGCTGGAGCCCCAACCCGTTTGCTCAAGGAGCCTGGCTGGGACACTGTCCAGCCTGGGGCTGGGCTGGAGCGCTGTGCCTGGCGTGAGGGTCCCGGGGAGTCAGACCCACACTGCACAGCAGCAGAGGCAGCGCTGACTGCCTAAGTCTGTCTTCAGTCAAGCAGGAGGACTCGGACCTGGGGCTTAGGAAACGGTCTCTGGCTGCGATCTGCCCCCACACCTGGCAGTACCACAGGGCAGACAAGGGGCACTTCACTTCAGTACAAGAGGCCAGCTGACCCAGGGCGGCTACTCCTCTGCCCATCTTGGGGGGTGGGGATCACACCAGCCACCACACGTGGGGAATGGACCCCTGCCTCCCAGAGCCAGCAGGAAGAAGGACCCAGGGGCGAGTAAGAAGCAGACTGAGCTGGGGCCACTCAGGCAGCTCCATGGCGGGCAGGCAGGCAGGCAGACTGGGGAAGGAGTCTTTGGAGCTTGGCAAATGCAGGGGCTTATTGCAGGGGCTTCTCCAGGGCTGACCCTGGCACCAGCTGTGGAGCTGCAGGTGGAATGCTGCGACAGCCTGGGCCCCTCCCTTACAGTTCTCCCTGGGCTACTCCCTGCCTCCCCCCATCCGTTTCCGGAGCTTTGGGCAGGGTTCTTGTGGGTGGCTGTGGAGCCTCACTCAGCCTCCCTGGGCACCTCGGAGGCATCGGCCCGGCAGATGGGACAGGTGCGGTTGGCCTGGGAGGAACAGCCACACGTCAGACCTCTTTCTTATCTGACCTCCCCGCCCCCACCTATCTGACCTGGATAACCCCCCACACCCGCCCACAGAGATACCCGGGAGCGGGCTCAGGCCACCTTACCTTCAACCACTTGTCAACACACTTGGCATGGAACTCGTGGTTGCAGGGGAGGACTCGGAGCAGCTGGCGCACCTCGAAGTCACTGAAGCAGACCACACACCTGAAGAGGAGCACAGTGTCAGCCCACAGGCAGCAGAGCTCCCTCCCAGCGGTCTTGCTGTGACACTCACAGAGTCTGCTCGGACTGATGGCCTTCGGGGTTGAAGCGGTAGGATGGCAGCTGCTCTATGTCCGCTTTGCTGAGGCCTCGGGGCTTGGCATCTCCCAGCCGCTCAGCCAGGTTCAGGAGAGCCTGGAGCCAGGCAAGAGGGTCAGCAGCGCCCAGGGCTGCAGGGCACCCACCCCACCCCACCCCACCCCACCCCATCCCGGCACAGGCTCACGGACCTCGTAGTTCTCCATCTCCACGTCATCCACGTCCAGGTCCAGGCTGATGGTGGGGCCCATGGCGGCGGGCGACATTGGCAGCATTGAGCTAGGACAGGAAGGGAAGCGCCAGCGCGCGGGTCAGCAGAGGCAGGGGAACACCAAGTGTGTGCACGGTGCAGCCTGCACGGCCGGAGCTCAGGGTCCTGGAGTTTGCTCCAGGAGAGGCAAGGGATGACTGCTGGGTGTGGCATGGTGACGACAGCAGACAGCCACAGGGCCGAGGGCTACCAGGGCTGAGGAGGAAACAGGGTAATTGGCTCTAGGGCAGCAAGGCTGGCACTTACAGGAAGTAGGGTAGGAAGCTTGGGTAGTAAGATGGTGGCGGCGGCGGGGGTGGCGGCGGCGGCAGCGGCTGCTGTAGGCGGTATCGTTGTGTGCTCACTCTTCTCGGCACCATGTGCGAATATGGCTACGAACAGGAAAACAGGCGCCCGTGACCCGGCAGGCCTGCCCATCTGCTCACAGCCCTCAGCCTGGCTGGGGGACAGGGGTGGCGCTTACCACACCGAAGGACAGCTCCTGGTGCAGCGGGTCAGGGGGCAGGTAGTGAAGGGGCACTGAGGGCGACAAGGCTGGGCCGGTGGCCGAGGTGGAGTACGTGAAGCTCCCTAAGGGGTGCTGATCTCCTCGAAGGTCCATGTCAGTCTCCAGCCGCTGCAGGGGCTGGAGGAGGAAGGGCGGTCAGCCAGCCGATTCCCAGAGGCCCTTGTCTCTTTCCACTCCGCGTTTCCCCTCAAGCTCCCAAACTCACCATTCGAGGGTGCTGGGTCTGCAGGGACACGAACTGCCCAAGAGGTGCCATGTGGGCAGGCTGGGGGGGTGGGGCCGGCGGGGCATGAAGAATGTACTGGTCGCTGGAGATGAGGTGGGGGTAGGTGTGGTAGGGCACAGGGAGCTGCTGCAGGGCGCACGCCTGGATCAGCTGCTGAGAGAGGGCAAAGAAGCTGGGCCTGTGCTTGCCACGAAGGCCAGGGGACAGCATCCAGTGAGGTGCAAACCCGGGAGCTAGAGCAGCTCCAAAGTCCCCCCCTGGCTCCTGGCCACCCAGGCAGGACTCCCCTCCCCAGCCGTCACTGCAGGGCCTTTGGCAATTTATGTGGTAGGCACTTTGTTACAGAAAGGTCCCTGAACTCCAACGGCCTTACACCTGTGTGGGAATGAACACACACACACACACACAGTCCCTAAGGGAACTTGTCAGCATGTCTGCTGCAATGGACAGCGTGGCCCGTGCCTGGGCAGGAGAAGAAAGCTTACTCACCGGAGGTGGGAGGCAGCAGAGGGGGTAGTGCTGCCCACTGAACATCACGGAGCATGCTGGGAGCTGCTGGGTACTGCAGCCAGGGATGTGTTGGCTTGCAGGCAAGGGGAAGCCTTGGGCAGTCACTGTGGTGACTGTGTAGGACAGAGGGACAGGTCCCTGGTGCACCTGTGGAGAGACCCCAGGGAAGTGAAGGAGGCCATCTTCAAAGCAACTCCTGTGGCAGGCCAGGCAGGTCTCTGGAACATGAGACCAGCCTGGTCTATATAGGGAGTTTCAGGCCAGCCAGGGCTATATAGCAAGGCCCCGTCTCAAAATACAAAAAAGCCCTGTTGGGCAGAACTCCTGAATCCTTTACAGCAGGCACACCAAGTAAGACCCTCCCCCTTTCTGGAATCCAGTTTTCCCATCCATACCACAGGACTAACATATGCTATAAGCCCAGCAAGACAGACTCAAACTTTGCTGCTTCTGCTTCTTAGCCCAGGCCCAGTTTGACAGAAAGAACTTGGGGGCAGGGAGGCGTGGTAGGAGTTCTGCTTCCTACCTGTTCTTGGAGATCAACCATGAACGGGCTCTGCTGGGTGGCTGGGTGCAGCATTCGGGGGCTCCTGCCGGCAGGAGCTGAGGCTCTGTGCTCCTCTACAGAGAGTTGTGACGGTCGGGGCAGCAGCTGCTGGGAGGGTAAGTGCTCATCCTGGGCAGGTGGGCTGGCCAGGTGCCCCTCGTGGCCAAGGCTGTACCACAGAGAGGTGTGATGGTCGGGGTGGCAGCTGCTGGGAGGGTAACTGCTCATCCTAGGTAGGTGGGCTGGCCAGGGGCCCCTTGTGGCCATGGCTGTCCCACAGAGAGGAGCCCAAATAGAATAGAGGGGCACCACTCCTTTGTAATTCACAGAGAGAAACTAGGTTCACAGCCCACACTAGGAAGATAGCTCACCAGGGCATCCACCCCTCTGCCCCTGAACGCAAGCCAAGAAGGCTGCCCTTGAATGAGGGATGCAGGCTTCTTCCTACCTTCCCCAGAGCTGGCCTGGACTGCTGCTAGGTCTTGTAGAGAATCGCCAGTGACCCACAGGGGCAGAGGGTGGCCACTTAGTCACTGCTAGAACCCATGGTCTCATCAGGGGGCAGGCAGGGGGAGGGGCTGGGCCGGGGCTCACAACCCTAGGAGGCAAGTAGAGAAAAGACATGGCGGGACAGAAAAATCCTGCTGCTTATAACATTAGGAATTGAGAGACTACTAAAACCCGGGCAGGCCCTCCTCTGAAGCCTGGGGACCAGTGTTGACGGGCTAGTCTTAGCTTCCTGTTCTGTGAAATGGGATCAAACCTCCTTAGCCTGTGATAAATTCAGAGGGCAGACAATATGCTTCAGGGCCCCTGGCTCCGGTGAGGCTCAGGCTAGACAAAGCTCTTCCTCTGCCTCACACCAGGGGCTAAATCTTGGCCTCCAGGCAGCTGGGGCTTTTGGAGAGCTCCAGGTTTCCCTTTCATGTGGGTGGCTGAAAAGTCCCAAAGAGGCCTGGGACTCAACTCTTCTCTCAGGTGTGACCCGTTTTCTACCCTTGGAAAATTTCAGTGTAAAGCCAGGCGCTATTCTCTCTCTCCTTAGGCCTACTTCATTCAGCCTAGCGCCCACTCAGGTAGGACTCCATGCACTAAGGAAAGTTCTTAGCAGGCTGGCCAGAAGAGACTTTCCTAGGTCCCACAAGTGAAAGCCTGAAAATGGGGCAACTTCAACTCTTTTACACCCTGCTGCTCACTGGAAAGCTCACCTCCAGGCACAGGGGCTAGGAAAGAAGCTTGCATCTGGTAGCATGCTGGACTGGGCATATGCCCATGTCTTATGACCCCATGCATACCCCAAAGTAGGAGGCAGAGCCTCTAGAGAAAGAATGAAGCTGAGAAGAAGCTGAGGTCAGGGCCCGGTCTCCTCTTTGGGGTCCAGGTGGGAAAGCAGGGTTATCTAGCTCCAGGCTTTCACCCACTGACTCAAGAGTTGGGATGAAGGCTCGGCAAGGAATACTCTGAAGCCCATCAGGCCCTGTGACATTGAAGAGCACACCACAAGGACCAGCCCTCCACCACAAGGTGTCTTCCCACTCTTTCTCAGTCACCAAACCTACGGTGCCCAATGTCCAGCTCTTAAGTGCTGCCACATAAGGGAGTCAGGCCGGTTAAGCACCTCGGTCATTTCTGCCAACAGAGGGGCCCTGTCCTCCACCCAGGACTCCCCAGGTCTGCACAGGAGAGTGCTTTCTCCACATGATCCAACGTGCTAGGCCAAGGCCACAGGCCTGAGTGTACTGGCTGAATGCACTTTTGTTCCTGAAGGATTCAGGCACTCAGCAGGGGTGAGATTCACCCAAGAATGCCCATCACAGAGGTATGTAAAGGCACACAGTCTGGCAACAATGACAGGGTGCTGCCACAGTAAAGACTGGGGGAGTATAAATTAACTACTCCCCCAAACCTCGTCTCTGAAATAAGACTAACAGCAAGGGAGCAGCACCTGTCCTCCTGTTAGCAAATGCACCTCTTTTCCAGGATACCCTGACACATAGCTCCCCACTTCCCGATTCTACATCAGCCACAAATGAGGGTCAGGAAGACTCCCCCAAACACCTTCAACAAGATTGCCAGCCCACCCCAAACCAGCAGACAGAAGGCTTGGCATCTTAGTGGTGGGCAGTGGTGCCAGAGGTCACCGCTAATATACAACAACCACAGATTCTTGCCAGGGTCTTTGGCTCATGGTTTTCCATCTGTGAACATCAGACTCCTCTGTAAAAACGGGAACAACCTAAGAATGACGTCCCAGGACTCTATTAAGGAACACTCGAAAGAGAAGCAGCAGCCTGAAGTGAGTTCCAGCTGCAATGTCAACGGTTATCATTAGGAATAAGATGTGCGCCCCTGCAGTGGACACAAGGAAGTACTGAAGGAGGCTGAAACACACTGCCCTGTGTACCTCAAGACAGAAAGGTGATTCCAGAACTCCTACCAGAAACAAAAGTGGTAAAGAGGGGACACACCCATTTCTGTTACTGAAGCCCCAAGAGTTGTAGACCACACTTCTAGCTGCTTCCCTAGGCCCACTGGCCAAAGTGCCACTCCTCTCAATGATGACAGGGAAAGACCACAGATTCCCACAGGAGATGGCAAGCGTCTTTAAGTACCTGTGAGAAGCCATAGGACAGACGTGCAAGGCAAGAGGCTGAGCTGGACCTATCAACACACTCAAGGTCAACCAGCAACACTGCTTTTCTACACCTTCTTTTTCAGTGTAGTCTCATGAAGTTTGTGTAAACGCCCCTAAGTGCGATCCTGCCCCCCACGGGTCCACAACCCTGCCAGTCAATCCCAAGCAGGCCTTCTGACCCTGGCGTGGGGTCTGTCTGAAGACAGAGACGCTCCCTCTTGCAGATAAGCAAAGGTAGACTCCAGGACCAAGATCAGGCTCAGGCGGGAAGCCAAACTCTCCCTCCCTACTTGCTTGCTCAACCCCCACTGTAAACAGGCGCTTCCCAACTCCCAGTAAGACCTCGAAGGCGGTTATGGTGGGACCACCACACCCTGGACGGCTTCGACTCCCTGGATGACCTTGGCTAAAGAACTCCTTCAGTTTCGCTAAGCCTCGGCTGCAACATTTTAAAGCCAGGATTGCAATTTCCCCAGGACGCCCCTCAAAAGCCAGAGACAAGAAAGCAGGTGTTCACACTGTAGGGGAGGAAAACAAAGTCCCCGAGGATCAGGCTCCTCCCTAAAGCGGGCCAGACGCAGGGAGTGGGGCTCCAGCGGCAATCTTCCAAAGCTACCCCTCCCTGGGGGCGAAACCCAAGCTAGCACACCTGTCCCACGAGAGCCTCGGGTGTCCCCTCTCACACTGTAGTGGCGCACTCGGAGGAACACCTAGGGAAGAGGCCGGGCAGCAGCGCTGGGGCTAGAGCGCTGTGACTTTAAGAGCCGAGGATCCTGGACCATGTGCTCGGCGTGAGACAAAAGCAACAACAAAGGAAGTGGCGGCCGCAGGGGGAGGGGGTGGCTCCTTCCCCTCCACCGCTGCGCTCCGCCAGGCAGAGGGGCGGCCGGGCCGGGGCTGGGCAGCCGCAGGCAGCGCCAGGCCAGGGGGCCCCGGCGCCAGCCCACCCCGGCGGCTCCGGATCGACGCCCACGGAGCGGGTAAACCACGAGTCCCCGAGGGCGCCGCAGTGCCGGTCCGAAGTTACGGGCCTAGCCCGACTCACCGGCAGCCGTCCGACTACACGCGGGCTCCTTTGTTCGCGACGCGGGGTGCGGACGGTGGGGCGCCCGCTCCTTCCCGAGCCAGTGTCTTCCGCCTCTGCGGCCCGGGCCCGAGCGGAGGGCGGCGAGCACGCAGCTGGGCGCTCCGGCCGGCTGGCCCTTTAAGAACTGTCCGCGGCGGCCGGATGGAACCAGCCCCACGTTTGATTCACAACATTCGGAGCGGCGGGGGCGCGCGGCGCGGAAGGCGGCTCGCGGGGGCGCGCCGGGACGCTCAGGCAAACAGTAGCGGCGGGAGCCGGCCCCGCCCCGCGCCGCCGCGCCAGCCAATCGCGCCCCGCGGGCGGCACGTGACTAGCGGGCCGCCATCTTGGGAGCCAGGTTAAAGGCGCCTCCTCGCCCCCGCCTCACACTTCAGAGCCCCCACGGCCAGGTCGCGGGCGGGGAGTGGTGCGGCCCCGCTGCCGGGCCGCGGCGCGCACTAAGCGGTCACGGTTACCTTCGCAGGGCCCGGCCCTCGCGGGGCACGCGCAGCGCCTCACGCGGCCGAGGCGAGAGGAGGGCTCTCAGCCCGGCCGGCCGGCTTCCCGGAGGTGACGTCACTCCCAAGCCCCACAGGCCGGCGATGACCTCATAGCCCACCTCGTTTCTCGACTCCTGGTTTCGGTTCCGTCAGGCGGCGCCTTTAAAAAGCTGGGACAGCCCAGATGGCCGGACAGACCAATGACTGACGACTCTTGCAAACGATTTAACGTCTCCCGGGCAGGGGGACTGGCCCTGCGCATGCTGACGTCACAGAAACATTTTGCCACCCCGCCCCCAGCGCGGCCGGGGAGAGGGGTGGGGAGCCTTATGTCGACAGACTAGCGTCTCCTGTCCCAAGCCCAGGGAGGTGTCTGCACTCTAGTTTCCTACGTCTCCCGGCACTTGTGCGTCTCGGGATTATGACAAGCAGTCCATTGTACCGGAGCAGAGAGGAACACACCCGGGACTAGCAGGTCTCTGTGAGTTCAAGGCCAGCCTGGTCTAGAGAGTGCAGGACAGCCAGGGTGACACGGACCTGGTCTTCAAAAACCAACAAAAGTGCCACACATCCAGGTCAGATGACACAGCTGAGAGGGAGCAGCTGAAGCAGAGCCTCGGTCTTCAGGATCGCTCCCAGGCAAACACACAAAGTGGGTATAGTGTCTGCCTCAAATCTAGGAGCACAAGAACGCCGTCACCTAGCGCTCCTAAAGCGCCCACCAGCCCAGGGCAAGGCGTTAATACAAAATGGCAACATTTGTTAAACCTCTGTGGCAGGCTACCGACGGGGACACTACTTAGTGGATATAGCCCATAATCTCAAATATTAAAAAACAACAACAGTTTGCTGAACAAGATGTAACAGTACTATCAGTTACAACTGGATATTGTATCTGCATACAGTACTTCTGAAATGATACAGGAATTGTCGGGAGGGTACAATTTTATTTTCTTTGTACTGTTTGTTTGTAAACAGTCTATATCTCAGGCTGGCCTCAAACTCCTGATCGTCCTGCTTCCACCTCCCCAGTGCTGGGATTAGACCACTCCTGGTTTAGATTTTTAGATTTGGTAACTGTATATTTGCTTTAAAAAATTCTAGACAGAGCTGGCCATAGTGGCGCAGGCCTTTAATCCCAGAAATTGGGAGCGGAGGCAGGTGGTCTCTGAGTTAGGGGTCAGCCAGATCTAGACTGAGTTTCAGGACAGTTAGGGTGACACAGAGAGACCCTGTCTCAAAATACAAATTCCAGACAGTACAACCTACTGAAAAAATTGCCCAAAATTATAAAAGAATATATCTTAGGTCTATTTCTACAGATTTTATTTTATTTTTTCAGATTTTATTTTATGTGTATGTATGTTGTGTCTGACTACGTTGTGAAACATACACATGCAATGCCTGTAGGGGCCAGAAGCTGTTGGACCTTTTGGAACTGGAATTACATGTAGATGTGCGTCGACTGATGTAGGACTGGGAATTGAACCCTGGTCCTCTGGAAGAGCAGCAAGTGCCCTTAACTTATCTCTCAGTCCTTTAATGCTGATTTTATGGCATAAACACTTTCCCTTATAAAGAAAATCTCTCCTTAGGAAGAGAAGCCAATGGAAAGGATGCAGAAGAAAACTGGGGGAATAATCTTTGGCTCAGAATGTCCTGCAGACCAACTAACCGCATGGGGGATGTGCAGCCAGCAGCAGGAGGACAAGGTGGTACCTGGGGCGATTTGCAGGTCTCCTGAGCACCAGGAGGGGAAGTTGATGACATGACGCAGTGGCACAGATGTTACTTGGGATGCCACTCTATTTACCACCATGTGCATGGACTTACATGTGGACACACACAGTGAGGCTCTTGGCTGCTTCCTTGTCAACTCCTGTCTCCTAAGCCTCATCTCCATCAATTGATAAGCCTAGAAATCCTGTGCACAATCAAAGGTACCTGTATCTGCGTCCCTGACTGCTTCTACGGGAGGAGCCTGAGGTGGCTCCTCAATGCCTCGGTGGGTACACTGGCCTCGGAGGTGCATCTGACATGCTCACCCTGCCAGTCTTTTGGGCTCACCTCTTCTAGTGGCTTCCTGTACCACAGCTGTGCTCCTTCTGACCAGCTGTGCCTGCTTCCTCCTGCTGGAGCAGCCTTTCCTTTCCTACAAGTCAGTTCCCTCTCCTGCTTTCCAAGGTCCCACTCCTACCTCCCCTTTTACAGTAGCCTGTTGAGACCCTGGCCTTCACTGCGTGAGAACCCTACCACAGTCGGGGTCTCCCTCCATAGCCTCCTCCCGGATGCAGTGCACTGGAATCCAGCCTTCACTAGCAATGTGGCGTCATAGGCTAGCCCAGCCTCAGTGTACAGGAGAGATCTGAGGGCCACAGAGGTGAGGTCACTTGCCCAAGCACAGATTACCAATTTCTCTCAGAAAACCTGGGGAGAGAGCTGTCAGCAAAGTGCTTGCCACACAAGCTTGAGGACCTGAGGTCAGCCCCACAGCACACGCCAAGACCACCTCCAAACCTGAAGGTTGCTCCTGCCATGTGAAAAACCTTATGGGCAGAAGGGAGGAGAATTTCTAGTCCGTTTCTGAAATTTCTGTTTTGTTTTTCAAGACAAGGTTTCTCTGTGTAGCCCTGGAACTGTTTTGTAGAACGAGGCTGGCTTTCATCTGCCTCTGCCTCCCAAGCGCTGGGATTAAAGCGTGCACAACCACACTGGCTAAGTTTCCTAAATTTCAACAGAGGCCAGAAATCTGGACTATCCTTTGAGTATTCTCTGGAATCCCAGTGTTGGCCTCTTGTGCCTCTTCCTCATTACAGCCCGCCCCTGTGGGGTGTAGCCCTTATACAACAGCCTGCCTATTCTCCCAGTGGGCAGGTACTGTTTACTCTCAGAGAGGAAGCAACTGTTTTCACCACAGAACCCAGAAGTGTAGCCCAGTGGGTTGCAGAAACCACATAAGGAGGTGCTGCCTCTGTTTCAGCAAGCGCTAAGAGTTTTCCTCAGTCACCCACCCTGATCACCTCACGGTGAGCTAAGAGCTAAATGCCAGTGTTTGCCCCACTTCACAGAAGAGGCAACTGAGGTGAAAGATAGTACATATCTCTGAGTCTGTGCAAAAAGCGAAAGCACAGATGTCCTGGGGGAGGGGGAGGTGGAAGACCACAGAAAGGCTCAGGACCCGGCAGGTGGCTTGAGATGGCATGGGCAGAGGAGAGCTGGAGAGCTCGGTAGGCAAAGCACAGCACTCACTGTGCTCCTCCAGGCCTCATCTATATATGAGCTGGGCTCTGGCAAGCTGAGGCAGGAAGAAGGTGCCAGCACACTTCCCCAGTGGGGCCCTGCCCAGCCAGGGCTTCCACCTACCATCAGAGCCTGAAAACTGGCTGCCTCCCTTCTCTGAATCAGAAAGTATTCCATTTCTTTCTTCCTTGGTCCCTCACATCTTCATCCATCCAGGCAGGGCACAGTAGCCTTTCCCAAACTAAGAAAGCATGCAACTGGAACCTTGGGACACACAGCACATCCTGGCCAGCCAGGACTCTGACCTCTCAAAACACTACTAAGCATCAGACTGGGAGCCCAGAGCCTCCTAAAGCAGGGAGAATGTCAACAGGCCCTGTTCATTATACAAGAAGCCCAGGCTTTGCTTCTGCAAATAACTGACCATTTGTGCAGGTGGACAAGGAGCAGAGGGTGTGTGTGTGGGGAGTGGGTGGGTGTCTTATGCTCCAGCCAAGACTGGCTAGGTTATCGTACTGCAGGCGGGGACAAACCACAGCACTGATGACTGAGGCTCTGGTCACCTGATGAATGTCTATCGCAGGAACACACTAATGGGTAAATACAGGCTGCTCTGGCTCTCAGGAGTTCGGTGACCTTGAGAGCTTCTCTCAACTCCCCGAGGCTGTTTGTCCAGGAGTAACAGTGGATGACAGTACCTGTGCCTACCTCCTTAGGTGGCTGTCAATAGGTCGGCAGGCGGTGATGAACCAGTGTGACTCCCTGGCTATGCCTGCAGCGGGATGTGAACCAGTGTGTATGCTGCATGCACCTCACCACTGGAATCGCCCAGTCCGCAGTCGAACAGGGGCGCACTGTCTCACTGAGAAGAAAACGGTGGGGCTAGAAGAGAGCAGTGCCCGTAAGGACGAAGACCCACTTTTTCGTATAGTGGGTAGCCCGCCCACAATTCCTTCCCCCCGCGTCCCCCAGCGCCAGCTCCACTCAAGCCCAGTAGGATCAGATAGCAAACGCTTTGCGACTGGGCAAGATGCAAACCCAGCCGACCCCCTCAGGGTTCGGACACCGCGAATGCAGCGACGACCGTGTCAGGGCCGTGCCCCGGACCCCCAGCCACTCCGGCTGTCAAAAGACGAAACGTGAGGGGCCCACACGAGGCCGCAGGCCGCAGGATCGGCGCTGGAGCCCCACCAGCCGAGCGCGGGGCGCCCCAGCCCTCGGACCGAGCGACGACCGGGGCCGGCGAGGCCTCAGCGAAGCTCCCGCGCCTCCCGCCGCGTCCACAGCGGCCCGCGCCCGGGCGTTACCTGAGGCCTCGCTGGGCTCCACCCCCACCAGGCGGCGGCGCGTTGCTCCCGGGGCAGCCCGGTCCGGCTCCGGCTGCGGCTCGCAAGCCGCCGGCCGCGGCCCTCCCCCTGCGCCCGCAGTGGACCGTCCCAGGGGCGCCGACCCGGCTCGTTGCCTCCCCCTCCCTGGCGCGCGCGATGGGCTGGTCGGGCCGCACCACGGCGGGCGGGGGTGACAGGGCGGAGCTTCCGGACACGCTTCCGTCCCGAGACGGCCGCGAAGCGCCCGGGAGGAATGTCACGCCCCGCCTCGCCGCACGCAGTGGGCCCGTCGGGCCGAGGCATCGCGGATGGGGGGCACATGGGCGGGGCGTCCAGACACGCCCCCTCAGGCTCTCCCCGCGGGACGCGCGCGGTGGGCCGGTCGGGCGTCACCACCGCGGGCCGGGGAAGACGGGGCCGGGGAGCCTGGACACGCCCCCTCAGCGCGCGCGAAACCCACGGGCTGGACGTCGGCTTCCCCCGCGGCGCGCGATGGGCTTACCCGGCCGCACCATCGCGGGAGGGGGGCGCGGGGCGGGGCCTCCGGGCGCTTCTCCTCGGTGCGGGCGCAGGGCCTGGGAGCCCTGGCGCTTTTAGGGGCTCCGTGACCCGGCATGAGGGCGCTGTCTGTTTCTTCTTCTGTTAAATAAGTTAAACACGACTCTGTGGCCCTTCAAGGACACTTCAGAGGACACAGACCCCCAGATACCAGAGGACGGGGTAGAGCCTGCCTGGGCCGTTCCTTAGCCGAGCGGGAAACGGGTTGGTGAGAACTACAGCTCCCAGCGGGCCGTGCAGCCGAGCCTGCCGGAAATTGTAGTTCCTGCACGCCGTGCCCCGACAGCCTCACGTTCTCAGCCCAAGACTTGGTTGGCTCCCCAGTGGTTCGTTGTCCTCCGCGTTAACTGGGCCTCTAAAGCCTCCGTTTGTTGGCGTCCTCCTGACAAGAGAGCTTTAAAGGGAATGTGTTTCCTGGAAGGGGCCGGGGGTCGGAGAAGTGGGTTGGAAGGTTGGTTCTAGGGGTGACATGTCCCCAGGCTGGTACCCTCATTTACAGGCACCAAAGGGACCTTGCACCTGCAAAGTGCAACGATCTGGGAGGATGGGGAGTGAAGGCGTGAACACATTCCACCAAGGAGCCTCGGTCGGCGGTGGCTCTACGGGTCTCCCTTGAGCCCATACTGAGAGGAACCACGGCTGTAGCCAGTGTCACACAGCTGGACAGGGGCACGCTGCCACTAGATTTCACCTTGACCAGATAGCCGTCAGCCTCTGCCTTGCTGGGATTAAAGCATTGGGCGCGCGCTGCAATGGCCGAAGATAATCTTTTTCAAAGCGCGCACTAACGCAGAGGCTACGGAGGACCTTGGTGTGTACTCCTTACCCGTGAGAACTTTGCTCCATGGCTTGCACTCTCAGACATAAGATTAGTCCCTACCACATTTCTGTGAAATAGAGCCTGTCCTGTCCCACTTTCTACTTCCCATTCCCTGAAATTGACATCGAACACAAATCTGTTATTCGACCTGGATCATCACAGCCCAGAGCCCAGGGAAATTCTCAGGCTGCCTTGGTGTCAGGTGGGCAAGATGCTTTGGGCAAGGCTGCCAGCTGCGTCAGGCTTATGTAGATATTGTGCAATGGTCTAGCCTTTGCCTATCTCTGGCAGCCAGCCTCGTGACTCACAGCTGCCAGCCCTGCCATAT